GAGGGAGACGTCTGTGAGGCTACGACTAGCGAAGACTGTGAGAATTCCTGGATTCACTGAAAAGATCATCCATGCGCGATTAGAGAAGGACCCTGGGTGCTGCGTTGGATTAGTACAGTTATGTGAGGAATCCCCCAGCAAGCTGTTACTTGCCCGAGCTTTAGTGACCACCGAACGAGACATTCCTGTGAGGGTAGCAAATGTGTTACCTACCACCATAACAGTAAGGGAAGGAGACATCATCGGAGCTTGTGAACCAGTCAGTTGGATAGCAAAATGTGATGAGACTAACGAGCAGAGATGGAGGGAACGAGATGACAGTGCATTGAGAGTTCTGGAAACCTCCTTGGACCACTTATCACCAACGGAATATAAAGCTGCCAAGAAATTCATAGCAGACGAAAGTGATATCTTTGAATCAACATCAACAGGGCGGACGAACTTGGTCAAGCACAGAATAGATACTGGTAAAGCTCACCCAATTCGGCAACCACCAAGAAGAATGCCGTTTGCTAAGCAACAGGAGGTGGAACAGCTGGTTGACAAAATGATGAAGGATGGGGTTATTGAAGAATCATCCAGCCCTTGGTCTGCACCGGTTGTATCAGTGTCCAAGAAGGATGGATCCACAAGATTCTGTGTGGATTATAGGAAGCTCAATGACGTCACCAAGAAGGATAGCTACCCGTTACCAAGGATTGATGACACTTTGACTACATTGGCTGGCTCCCGATGGTTTTCGACACTGGACTTGAAGAGCGGATACTGGCAAGTGGGCATTCACGAAGAAGATAAGGAGAAGACTGCTTTTACGACTGGTAATGGACTGTACCAGTTTACTGTGATGCCTTTTGGACTATGTAATGCCCCAGCAACCTTCGAAAGGCTGATGGAATTGGTACTGCGTGGGCTTACTTGGAAAACTTGCCTGGTATATCTGGAAGATGCTTTGGTCATGGGAAAGAATTTCGAGGAACACCTGAAGAACTTACGGGAAGTGTTCCAGCGATTCAGGAATGCCAACCTCAAACTGAACCTGAAGAAATGTTCACTATTCCAGAAACGAGTAGATTTCTTGGGCCACACGGTAACGTCAGAAGGAATACAAACTGACGAGACAAAGATTCAAGCCATTCGAGACTGGCCAAGACCGAAGGACAAACATGAAGTTAGAAGTTTCTTGGGATTGTGCACTTACTACCGTCGTTTTGTGGAAGGATTTGCTGATATTGCGGCACCACTCCATAGATTGACAGAAGATCGAGTCAACTTCAACTGGTCTGTAGAATGTGAGAAATCCTTCAAGAAATTGAAGGCTGGCCTCTGTTCGAGTCCTATTTTGGGGTTCCCACAAGAGAGAGGCTTGTTTATTTTGGACACAGACGCGAGTAACATCGGAATTGGAGCCGTGCTATCACAAGTACAGGATGGTCAAGAAAAGGTTATAGAATACTACAGCAAAGTGATGGCCAAACCAGAAAGGAATTATTGTGTCACCAGGAAAGAACTGCTGGCAATTGTTAAGGCTGTTGACCATTTCCACAAATATTTATACGGAAGAGAATTTCTCATTAGGACGGATCATGCAGCTTTGAGGTGGCTGATGGAGATGAAGAATCCTGAAGGTCAAATAGCAAGATGGCTGGAAAAGCTGAACCAGTATCACTTCAAGATTAAGCATCGCCCAGGAAAACTACACCAGAATGCAGATGCCATGTCCAGAAGACCTTGTTCGGAAACCTGTAAGCATTGTCTGCGCATTGAACATCGAGAAGGAACCGCTGATGTTAGAAAAACCAGACTTGTGACCGATGATAAGTGGACAGCAGCACACATGAGACGAGATCAGGAGAACGATCCGAATATCGCCGATTTTCTACGTTGGAAAGAAAGAGGAACAGAAAGACCGACATGGAAGGATATCTTGGATAGAGGGACTGCTTTCAAGGCGATGTGGGCACAATGGGACTCACTAGTTGTGGAGAATGGATTATTGAAGCGAGTTTGGGAATCAGCTGATGGTAGATCAACAATTTCTCAGCTGGTTGTGCCCCACATCAGAGTTAATGAAGTTCTGGAAGAAGTCCATGGCGGAAAATCTGGTGGACATTTTGGAGTTAACAAGACATTGAGTAAAATTCGAGAAAGATTTTACTGGGTTCAATGTCGTGACGACGTGGAAAGTTGGTGTAGAAGATGTCCTGTATGCGAAGCCAGCAAAAGTCCCAGAACGAGATCAAGAGCTGGAATGAAACAATACAATGTGGGTGCTCCGTTTGAAAGGATCGCCATCGATGTAGCCGGACCATTCCCTTTGACCGATGATGGAAATAAATACATCTTGGTTGCTATGGACTACTTCAGTAAGTGGGTAGAAGCATACGGCATGCCAAATCAAGAAGCCTCCACAGTTGCCAGGATATTGGTAGACAACATGTTTTCACGGTTCGGGGTACCAATGGAGTTACATTCTGATCAAGGGAGAAATTTCGAGTCGAACTTATTCAAAAAGGTCTGTGATCTAATGGGAATCAGTAAGACGAGAACAACTCCACTACATCCACAATCCGATGGCATGGTCGAAATATTCAACCGAACTATGGAAGAACATCTTTCCAAAGTAGTCGAAGAGCATCAGAGGGACTGGGACAGGCATCTTCCCTTATTCCTGATGGCGTATAGAGCAGCTGTCCATGATTCAACGAAGCTAACTCCAGCTAGTATAGTCTTTGGAAGAGAACTCCGCTTACCTTGTGACTTGGTGTTCGGTTCACCAAGTGTTGAAGAAAAGGAAGTACAAGACTACGCAGATGAGCTCCGATGGCTTGATGAAAACTCATGAGACTGCTCGGAAAAGATTGAAATTAGCAAGTGACAAAATGAAGGCACGGTATGATCTCAAAGCCAATTCAGAGGGATTCTTTGAAGGAGATCAAGTTTGGCTGTATAATCCTCGACGGAAGAAAGGCGTATCACCCAAATTAACACCATCTTGGGAAGGACCGTATAAGGTGTTGAAAGGGATCAATGATGTGGTCTATAGAATCCAACGCAGCCCTAGGACAAAGATGAAAGTCGTTCATCTTGAAAGACTGAAGCCTTATCATGGTGAGGAAAGTTCTGTTTTTGATCGGGACGATCAAATTTGAAGAAGGGGGTAAATGTTACGACCCTGGCGATCAATCCCAGCTACCTGCGGCGGAATGTAAACAAGCCATATTTCTTGGAATAAGTAATTAGGTGATTCGACGGCTATTGAGATGACTCGAGAAGATTATCGACCTGTTCACGATATTTCGAGTGGAATCTAGACGTTTTATTAGGTAATATAAATAGATGTTGTTAGGGACAGGAAGGGAAGTCTTTATTTGGGAGCGTTATAATAACGATCGAAGAAGTGTTGTGAATCGGAAGTGTTTAGTACGAGTATTGTAATTATTGTATAGTAGTGTTCAGAATAAATCGTTTTGAGTGTTATACCGAGTGTTAAGTTTTACGGACCCAGAGTAAAATCTTAACATTATCTGTAGTACAAGCCCACATGCTTGAGGAAAAATTACTTTCTTCATCGATATAAGTTTCCACGATATAATAGCAAAATTTCGATAGACATGGATTACTGGGCATTTTTGAATGAATTTCTTCAGAAAAAAAGTTTCCTACTTCATGAGGGTCTAAAAATGGAAGTCCAGAAAATATTTTAAGAGAATTGCCTATTTCTGAATTTTTGTTCCGAAATTCTGTGACTAAGTCTAAATTTTGAATTTTATAATACTACGATTGGCATAAATGGAATCTACATCCTATAATTTTTATATTCGGCCACATTATTCAACAAACCTTATGAATTGCCTGTTCAAAATCAACAATGACTGTTGAAGGTTCAAATATCAGATCCAAAGTTTCACATTTTTCATTTAACAGTTGAAAGAATTTCAAACAACTCGAGCCGTTCTTGTTTGGTTTATAAGCAAAATGCAACAGGTATATAATAGCCATTTTTAAAAGCATGAACAGTAAATAATTGAAGAAAAAATTCAGTACAAAACTGAAATGTTAATAAAATGGAAGCGCAAAATGAAAACAGATAAATAAATAAACAGACACATGAAGTTAAATGAAGCGTGATGATAATAATAAAAAGAACAATTAACCTTTAATTCCTTATGAATTAGCTTGGAGGGTCTTTCTGTTAGATCTTCTAACGCCTGCCTTTTCGAAGTATTGCTAACCTGTTGTCTTTTAAGAGTACTATCTTCCATGTGATTATGCTCTAGATGTGTTTCTATAATAGTTATTTCGTCTTCCTCGGTATACATTTCAGAAGAACACTTTCTGTTAACACCGCCAGCGAATTTTTCCGCATTTAGCTACATGAGCTTTAGAAAATTTAAAATTATTCAGTAATAATAATTATTTGTGTCCTTTTTCACTAATCATACACTTCAACTCCATTTTTGTTGCAGCTACACTTGTTTAAGAAACTAAATTAACTAGATACTTAGGAAGGATAATTATGCTTACTAGAACGTTTGAACGTTACTGGAAGAATTTTATTGGGTAAATCGATTAGAATATACAATTTTAACCTGGTCGAACTGCAGGGTAGGCTTAACTTGACCTTTTTCAAAAAAGGATTAATACAGGTATTCGTGGTCCAACTGACCGGTCCCCAATGGGTCACACTGTAGTGTGGTTGTATTTATATTGAAACTACAATTCGAACATCCTTGAAAATTGAATAAATCTGATCTGTTAATGCAGCTAGAATATTCTCACCACACGGATTATTTGTTGAATTGCATATGGCACGGCATTGCTGGTTACTTAACATATTCATTTTAGTTAATTCTTTCGGTTGCAGAAAAAATAGCATGTTTCATTCGCATCAAAAGTGACTTTTGATCCTAATAATTCTCATTGTTTTTTCTTATTCACCTGAGTTCAATAAATGAGCTACCTATTTAAGTTTCAGTTCCATTTTCCTTTTTGAATTTCAGCTCTGCATCAGCAAAGGTGGAAAATGTGTCACCGTCCTGGATGGATTTTATATCGAAACAGCTATATGCGCAGTATTAGGATTCTTGTGGTTGTGGTGGGGGGCGAAAAAAATCAAGCACATTCAGTCTTTGAGTGACAGTGCTTGGAAACTGAATAAAAGAAAAGATAAGAGATAGTACCAGTGAATGTGTAGAAAAAATGAACAATACCTACTTTAAATTGAATCGTAATTTATTATTGAAACAAAAATGGAAAAAATATTTATATACATAATGTGTTGTTGAATGAAATCCCCTAACATTGATAAGGGTCATCTCAAATTTGTTCGTCTACCTCATCAGTTTTTATAATTTTCGAGATTTTAAACTACTTGGCATATCTTATGAGAACATTATAATGTTTTTTTGTAATAGACTTGTTTCCAATAATTTTATAATTACTATATTGATTAATTTGTATGTAATTTACAAAGGTGTCTGTTTGATTCTTCATAGTAGGAGAGCCGTCATCTGAAAACAAAATGGTATATGTCCCAAAGGACAGTAAATAGATTTTAGTTCATCGAACGGCACCTGTGCCAATCACTATCCTGAGCAAAATGAATAAAACATTGCACTTTCCTGTGTGGACATTTTGCACTCGATTTCACGATCTGATAACGAGATATGAATTATGCCATCCGATACCAATTGAATGGTAGATCTCAAAAACATACTTGTACCACCCCTCAGTCTGAGCCAAATCCACGGTACAGCGATTTATTTGCTCCTGTTATTCCGGACATACTTCCGTCACAGTGGCGTAACTTCATATTTTGGCCCCCCCGCCAAAATCATTTTGGGTCCCCTCGAGACAAACCTTTCCAGTCAGAAGTCCCTTCGTTCCATGAACTATTAGCTATATTGAATAACCAACAAGCTTCACAATACGCTTCATCCTCTTTGGGTGAATAACACCATCATTTTCTTGGAATAATTTGCCCAGCATGACTTTTCTGTGAATAATAAAAATTAGAGAAACTCTTCATTTAGAAAATTCATATCTGGTTGAGACGGGGCCATTACGAACAATAAACATTTTTATCGTGTTGCTTAATTCTCGGACACTGAAATTGCCTTCATCACAAGGAAATGATTCTTTAATAAATACAACTGGAATTCATTGCCTGAGGAAGTATTCCCAACAACATATAATCTCCAGAAGTTCAAAAAAAATTCCAATACCTACCTTCTGTCCCTATCCTGCCTAGGAACGCACGATGTCCTTTAAACATTATAGGGATTTCCTTTCGTGCGCTCCAAGCGATATATAAAAAAACCATCGTTTCTCGCATTCAGGTATGGGCTCCTTGTGGATTTCAGATACAATACTTTTTATATTCACACTGTACCTACAGTTTCGAATGCAGTAGTAGCAGAAGTCTCGTCATTTCCTAAGTAAAAATTTGATATTTTTTCTATATACTTACCTTTATTTCTCTTCCCCAAACTTTTTTCAATACAAATTGTCACTGACAAGCTATAGTGAATTTTTCTTTTAGGCTCTCCGATAGGAGAATTATTTAAACGCAGTGACATTTTGGGGCAAATCATCTGATTTGTCCTCACTACACGTATATTGAAATATTCATATTTTTATTGTACAGAAACGAGGAGAGAAAATCCCAAATAATCTAGAATAATAGTTTTTCTTCCATAATAATTGCAGAGTCAACATCTATTCCTATTTCAATCATCATACTGCTAGTACTTGATGGATATTCATCATAACATTCAACTGTATTGTCCGAAACAGTAGTAGTATTCCTAAAGAACGTGATAATTTTGTAAATTTTTCACTTCTCATCTTCTAACTTTTGTTTCCTTCTTCTCTTTGAAGCACCACTAGTTTTAATCAAGTTCTCCATTTAAAGTAATTGGCTTGTATCGTTGATTGCACACATCACTCAGGACCTACACTGAAAAAAAACATGCCTGCACTATACGAAGAAATGTAAAAATTTGGCTGAGTCCTTGCTCTGGTTGGTGGACCCAGGGCCCCTTCCGAGGAACGGCCCCCCGCAACCGCGGGGTCTCGCGGTATAGAAGTTACGCCACTGTTCCGTCATGTGATAACGAGTTGAAACAAAATTGCGAATATCTAAACGTGCTGCGTTCTGAGTTAGTGGCAAAGCGTCAATATTTTCTTGAATATTCCGTCCTCGTCGAAAGATAATATCCGAAGGACCAATGTGAAACTCATGTGGTGCTCACAATGCAAGTAAGTATTCTTATCCACATTTTGAGTTTTAGACTAGTCCATCGGATATTATCTTGAGAGGGGGGCTAAATATTCTCGGAAGAATTGACTCTCTGCCAATAACTTAGATCAGTTTGAATCGCAGTACGTTTGGATATTCGCAAAGGCGACATCATTCCCTTCTATTTGCTTCTCTTTTCAACTCGTTATTACATGCCGGAAGTATGTCCGGAATAATAGCAGCAAATAAATCGCTGTGCCGTGGATTCGGTTCAGACTGAGGGATGGCACAGGCAAGTTTTTGAAATCTACCATTCAATTGGTATCGGAAGCCATAAAGCTTATCTTGTTATCAAATCGCGAAATCGAGTGCAAATTTCCGCACAGGAAAGTGCAATTTTTCAATCATTTTGCTCAGGATAGTGATTGGGACAGGTGTTTGGGAATATCGGGCACGTTTCAAACCTGCCCACACAGTTACCACGTTAACTTCTGATGGCAGTTGAGCCATTGACCATTCTGGTATCACCACTGTGGTCAGACGGATGACTTGACTCAGCAACAATGTGTTTACATGCCTTTGGGACATACAGGGTGATTCAAAAGTAAGCGGCATCCTTTCAGAGGCGTATTCCTTGCATGAAAATAAGGCAAAAAGTTCCTATTGATAAGGATCTGAAAATGCTTCCTAAGGGAGCTACGGCCCTTTGAATAGGACACCTCAAAGACGGTTTTTTCTCTATAACTTTAAAATCCTTCACAACAAATTTTTAAAAATTGGTGTACGGCATGAACATTCGATGGTAAATAGGACTCCGTATTCGAAATAATTTCCAAACGAAATCACAGTAACCTGAATATCCGGAGAAGAAGGGATATTTTTACACTTACCCTCTCCCGCATGTGACGCCCCTGAATGAAATTCTGAAATTTCGAATACGGAGTCCTATTTACCATCGAATGTTTATGCCGTACACCAATTTTTAAAAATTTGTTGTGAAGGATTTTAAAGTTATAGAGAAAAAACCGTCTTTGAGGTGTCCTATTCAAAGGGCCGTAGCTCCCTTAGGAAGCATTTTCGGATCCTTATCAATAGGAACTTTTTGCCTTATTTTCAAGCAAGGAATACGCCTCTGAAAGGATGCCGCTTACTTTTGAATCACCCTGTATATGTATATCATTTCGTTATCAGAAATTTGCAGCCGGCTCTTGGACTATTAGTACTTGTTGATCGTAATGTATCGTTTTTATATGCAGGGAGTCCGGACAGGTCATGTCGTAAATGATAGGGCTGATAGAGTGAAACAAAATTATATAAGTATTCATATAAAAAACTATCACGTTTCGTTTCGGAGTTATTGAATTTGAAAGGAATGAGAAAATGTGAATTGAATCATTTTTTATCGGTTGCAATTGTATCAATGATATTTGGGCAATTAACTCATGCTAATGGATATTTCTACATATAAACGGCTATCCAGTGAGTCTGTATTATACAGGATGAGATGATTTATTTTCGTTTAATGTATGTATTTCTGACAGAGGTGACAAATTTGATATATTGCTTTTGTCGTTTGATTCGTCCGTGTTATACCTTATTATAAACGATATAATACCTTATTTTAAACAATATCTTGTACCGTTATAGAGAAAATCGCATTTAAAAAAAAAAACAATAAAAAAGGTAACATGTATCTTGTAACTATGGTAACAGTTTGAAAGTTATAAATGATATAATTTTTTGTATTCCAACTTTCAAGGCCAATAACTATTTTTATTAAATGAAGTATAGGTACTTACATTATTTTGGCTCACTCTTTGAGCCCTATCACGTATGACCTAATCTTTCCGGACACCCTGTAATTCCAGTAATATCTTTTTAATGGGCGAGTGGACTGATATAATTATTGGCATTCAATTATTACTCCACTGTGTCGTTAGGGAACTAAATCCATTTTTACAACACTTATTCTCACGCTTTTTTTATGTAAATAATGAGACCGTTGTTCAAAATCGTTGAATTTCAGAGCTTTCTTCAGACATAACGCCATGGCCGCCACTTGGCAATACGTCGAATAAATGGTGACGTCAGTTTTTATGCTGTTTCGTTATTGGTCAGATAATCTTCCATTTCCACTCATGAAGCAAGTTCAAGTCACCAATTATGATCAAGTTATAAAAAAGATGTTTCAGTCCTGTCGTTGAATAAAACATAAAAGGAGGAACTCATGGCATTATGGTTCATTCTTGACTTTTTCGAGCAACCAGCATGTCCAAATATTTCTTATTCTCCATGACAAAATATCATGTGAATGTTGGAGACTTGGCAACAGTGTGCTGAATGCTGAGAATAGACAAGACCACGCCCACAAGTCGTGTGCGAGGTTGTCACGTTCACCGATTCAAATGTCCTCTAGTGTGAATTAATATCATTATTATTCACACAAATTCATTATAAGGAATAAGCCACAAATCATAAGAGAACATTTTGAGACAATTGCATTTTTATTGCGAGTTAGGAATATTCATAATACTCAATTGAGAATTTATGAATCATTGAATAGCTAATATTTTTTCTGAAATTCCCAATCGTAATTAAATACATGGCAACCATGCTATGGTCTGCCCCTACTTACGAAATCGTGGCGTCAGTTTTTATCGACGGTAAATTTCTAGCCGTTTGAAAATTACCGTGGCATGATTGATGATTTTAGCACCTAAGAATCGACCGAAAACTTCTTAAAAAATATGAAATTGAAAGGTATTCGAATGATGATTCTATTTAAGAAATAAAAAAAAATTAGTCCACTCGCCTAGAAAACAATATTTTTTTTGTATTTTGAAACTACTGTTCAAAGTGTACAGGGTGATCAGTTAAGGGTAGCGAGCGGCCATATCTCATAAGATATTGGTCGTATAGATTTGAGAAAAAAAAAAT